ATTATTGTTACCTATCTTAAATCGCCCACCAGACTGTGATGCCACTAAAGAGAATCCTGGAAGTCAGGTTAAAGGCGATTGTGGAAACCCATCTGTTGGGATTTTTTTCTTTGTTAGCTACATCATCATTTCTTTCCTGATTGTGGTAAATATGTACATTGCTATCATTCTGGAAAACTTCAGCGTAGCCACGGAAGAAAGTGCTGATCCATTAAGTGAGGATGATTTTGAAACATTTTATGAAATATGGGAGAAATTTGATCCAGATGCCACGCAGTTTATTCAGTTCAGCAAACTGCCAGATTTTGCAGATGCATTGGAGCATCCTTTGCGAGTTTCTAAGCCAAACACTATTGAGCTCATTGCCATGGATTTGCCCATGGTGAGTGGTGACAGAATACATTGTCTCGATATCCTCTTTGCCTTCACCAAGCGCGTCCTTGGAGAGAGCGGAGAATTGGATATATTGCGACAGCAAATGGAAGAAAGATTTGTGGCCTCTAACCCTTCTAAAGTGTCTTATGAGCCTATTACTACCACGCTCAGGCGCAAGCAAGAAGACGTGTCTGCTGTTATCATCCAGCAAGCTTACAGACGACACTTATTAAAAAGAGGATTTGTTTGTAGGAAGCATTCTTCAACAAAAATGGAGAATGGAGGAACAAATATGGACAAGAAAGAGGGCACCCCATCTACTGCATCACTTCCATCTTATGACAGTGTAACTAAACCTGAGAAGGAAAAACAAGAAAGGATAGAGGAAGCAATTAGAGAGCGGGCAAAAAAACAAAAACATGTCAGGGAATCCAAGTGTTGAAAAAAAAATTAAAAGTAATGTACACTTTTCAGATTTGCAAGCAAAAGATTGTTTACAAATTTAATAAATATATCAATGCAGATCAGCTATGGAGACACTTACAGAATGTTCAATACCAAACAGTCTGCTTATTATGACATTGTTGCATCTATAGCAGTGACCCACCACCTGTTTAAGAAGGACTATTAAGAAGCCTGACTGCAAGGATTTTATATGGTTGTACAGGTGGATACTGCATGTTTCACATCAATAAATGCGACCTAGGAGAAACCAAGAGAGCTGCAAGGATTAATACAATTCAGCAGCCAAATGGAGTTTATTTTCTCATTATTATGAAAATCAAAAAAGCACCATTTAGGGGGTTTGTTTGTTCATGCAAAACTATATTTGCAATGTTACATTAGTTAAGCAGCAAAAAAAAAAAAAAAAAAAGGAAAAAGAAAATGCGGCAAAAAAATAACAAAGCAAACAAACAAAAAAATACATTAAGCCCATGTCATGTAACTTTCACACTTTATTTGATATATCTACATAATTTTTTCTATATGGGCTTCATGTGGTTCGGGAGATGGAAAATCAGGTTATAACTCAGGCTGATGAGCAATTGCTCAGGCCGATTCCAAAAAAAAAAAAAAAAAAATCATAAAAAAAAAAATCAAAATAAAATAAATTGTGCTCGTTCAATGCATAGAAATGACTTGCATGATGGCATGCTGTGATCAGGAATCATGCATGAAGACTCATAAAATGCATAACACCACTACTCTGTCCACTGCAGTGGGGAAGCCATACCATAAGTGTGAGGCAATCCACTGAATACTGAACACTGTATTTGGAGACAACCTAGTATATACCCTTTCACCAATATTTACCAAAACTTTCAAACTTTTACAAATCATGGTTAGGGATTAAAAAAGGCAGAAAGATTTGTGTACATTTAATAAAGTTATTTAAATACAATCACTCTTGCACATACTACAAACGGGAAAAAAAAATCTAGTTGCTGCTCAAGGTTTCCTTTTATGGGATACAAAAACAAAAAAGACAAAAAAATAGAATAGCTTCTAATACTATGTCACTGTAAACCAAATCCTAGGGCTTATGAAATTATGCTTTTGTATTTTGCAATATTTTTAGTCTGCATTCTACAGAGGGGTATATATTTAGCAGAAGAAACAAAAGGCCGAACTGTTTAAAGTCCTTTGTTGGCAGAAATTAGGATACATCACTGGGTTTGGAAGTCAATGTTTATGCAAGTCACAATTCAGGCAATGTTTGGAGTCTACAGAGGCTATTCTGTTCCCACTGGGGCAACCTTTGCAACTTGGCACTTTAATACGTATTGTTTTCTTTTCAAATGTTTTTGTTTTGTTTTGTATATCCATACCAATTTTTATAGCACATATAATAAAAAGCAAGTATGTCATTTTGGTTTGTTGGCCATCATCAAAACTCAGTATAGAGATAGTTTCCTCGGCTGTCATAACATAATTCAAAGAATGCGAAAGCCTAACATCTGACCCACTGCTTCTATACATAGTTAATTAAATGCATTTGCAATTTAGCCTGAAAATGATTCTGGAATTTATAACATTTTGGACAAAATTGTTTTAGTTTTTTTTTCTTGTTTTGTGTTCAGGTCCATCAGCTTTCTGCATCCATGTTTTAAATTAGAGAAAACAAAATATATCTATATCTTTTTAAAAAAGTTTGATGGAATCGCATATGCTGGTGCTGCAGAAGTTTTTATGAAAAAAGTAAATAAAAGCATGCTGTATTCTATGTTTTAATAGCTGACGCTGCTAAAACTGATAAAGAATCATATAGTGTAAACGTGTGGTGTAAGAAGAAAGACATTTTAGTGTGGACCAAATTATTGCCTGACATCTAGCCAACACAGCTAATGCAGAACATTACATGTTACCTTACATTGCTGTTGCAGCTCACATACGACCAGCTTTTCAGTTTAACTGTACATCACTTAAACCCATAACTTTGTGCCAAGTGGACCTCCTTAAAAATATGATACCGTTGCAGTGGCATTAGTGAAGCTGAACAATGTGGGAATGTATGTTGGAGGAACAATTTCTAACAATATAGTTATATTTTCTTCCCATTTACAGTTAAGGTAGGTTGTATTATATTTCCATACATATGTACAGGCTCTGTTGTAAACAGCACAAAAGCTGAAAAGTGTGGTTCGACTTTTTAAGAGGATATTATAAATGCTGTAATATATCATTTTATTTTATTGAAATTTTTTTTGTAAATACAAACAAAAAAATACAAATTAAATAGAATGGCTTCTGGTGTATGCCATTGTCATCTTTATAGTTTATATTTTATTTATAAGGCGGTTCCGAGCAAATGTATATCCCAGAAGATCACACACCTTATTACAAATGGTCTTTTCTTGTTCCAGTGTGCAATAAATTATGACCACTTCTATGCAACATTTGGCTAACATTCATATACATATTGTTAGGTGTTGAGAAACTGAAATATTTATTCATTTTTCGCCGATTGGTACAAACTATTTGCTAAGGCTGGTGATATCACAGTGCTACATGTTATGGCTTATCCAAGTCTGTTTTGTTTTTCATTAAAATGTAAGTCTCGTTTTCATTTTTTTTTTTTTCATTCGTAAAGGATCCCAGTTTAGTTATCACTTCATTTACTTTTTTAAGCATATGCCCAAACAAATGTCAATGATAGCATTATACATCTAAAATCTGGATAGCAAAGTGACATCTTCACCAGCAGAATAAAGAAAGCGCTGAGAAATTAATGTCTTACATTTTTGTATGTCTTCACTTGGGCGAGGGAAGGGTTGAGAGAATTAGGCTTCACTAAATAAAAATAAGTACCAGTGCATTTTGTAGTCTTTGATGCAGTATTTCTCTTCAATCTATGTTTAAGAATAAAAAATGTAAAAAAAAAAAGAAGCTGATATCACTTAAAAATATTTTGATGATAGCACGTTTACAAGTTATCGTCCCTACCTCTTATTTGCCTGATGAGTTAACAGGTGCTTGGTCAGTGGAAACTCTAGGAAATGCAAATCAGAAAGTATCTTCTTTATTTTTATATTTTTTATTTTTTTTATGAGAGTATGTCAAACTGAACGGTGGAAAATGTAGCTTGGTACAAAATGTGAACAAACAAAACAAAACGGGCAATTTTCCGTTAGAACGGCAGTCTTTGATCCCTGTCCTTCCTGATGTTATTGCAACTATTTTCTTTTATGCCTACTTGCTTTATATTTTTGTAAGTTGACATATTCTTTCATTTCTTCTTCTTTACTAGATTTTAGCGTTTTACTCTTCTTCATATAAACTTTGCTCTCTTTCCTTTCTTTTTTTCCCCCCTTTCTTTACTTGTTACTTCTTTCTTCTTTTTCTCCCTGACTTCTTCCGTTCTTTATTTTCTTTCTTTGTTTCTCTTCCTTCTGTGCACTCCTGTACCCATATCAGGGTTTCATTCTTTTTTTTCTTGTCATTCTATCATACATTTTATGTCTACAGTTAAAGTTACCTGTTAAATCTATGTAACAGAACACTAGTAAAACTAGTGAAAAAATTATGTGTATTAGCAAAATGCATGGTGGCCGATGCTAATCTAACCCAAACTTGATTTAAAAAAAACAAAACGACATTACTACCATAAGCCAAAAGGAAAATCAAATAAACATTAGCCTTTTTATTGTAAAATAAAGGTTGTCTGTTGTGTGACTTTTTCTTAAGGAAATTTTGCTCTTCAATGCATGCAGTTTTCTTTTATGGAATCAATCAGTTCAAGAAATATTTGACAGGTGACTTTGCCAGTTTTTTAAATGCATTTTGCATATAATGCATTAAAGTGTATTAAAATATATTGTTAAGAACACTAATATGCCCTGCATTTTTTTAAAATGCTACAAGGGACTCCTTCAAAACAACTTCATTTCAATGAAGCTGTTTTGAAAGCTAGAGTCCATTGGGCACCATTGTACGTTAAAGTATAAATAATGCATTCGCATTAGGCTGCCAAATATAGCAACTGCTCTCAGCCAAACATGCTTCTTTTCTTCTCAGTGTGATGGGCAAGCAGAGTAGGGGTGAAAGAGCAGATCGGAGCCCTGAGGGAATCTTAAAGGACAACTGTCACATGACATTTTTAATTTTTAGATTTTTATAGGGTCCTTCAGCCGTATACATGCACCTTGGGATGGACAGTGTTTGAAAACGGACAGCTTCTATGGTATTCCTGCTTCACTCCCCGAACAAAAGCAGGGAAGACCATAGAGACTATGTGTCGGTTTTCAAACACTGTCCAACCATAAATGTATGGATGTTTTTTTTCCTTATTGTTTTTAAATGTACTTTATTAAAAAAAAAAAGAATATTCAAATATTCAAAAATGGTTCATTTATATGGGAATTGCCAGGCATATGGTACATTCTAATTGGTATACAGTTGTACGCTCTCTTGAAACAAACATTTTACTTTTCCTACTTTACATTAAAAGAATTGCAAGCATGCAAGCCAATCCAGTGAATACTGTCTGAAGTGTCCCTTCTGACTTCATCCTATGAAAATGAATCGGTTTAAGGAGTTATTATTATTATTTTATTATTAAAAATGGTCATCATCAAATCTGAGTGTAGCTTTTGTTCAAGCACAACTTTTAACTAATTTTATATTTCTTTAAATATGAATGTGAGGTTTCATAACATTCTTTAGGATGTTCTATTCTCATAATTAGGTTCTTCCTACAATTATTGTACACATTTATAAACTCACACATTAATATAATTTACCTTTTGTTATCTTTCCTTGCAAGCATAGGCATAGAGTATTTTAATAAAATGGATTTGGCTTTGCATTAAAGCCAGCCAGGCATACCAGTTTACCTTGGAGTCATTGCAGACAATTTTCACTTATATTTCGATATTTAAAGAACTTGGGCCTCAATTTAATACGCTTTCCAAATATTTTAATACTTTTAGAAAAAAATTCCAATGAGTTTTCCATACAAATTCACATATAATGTAATGGTGGCTTCCATAGATAAATAAAAATGTTCAGAATAAAGTGTGATAATAGTTCTTTAAAAAAACAATTTGGTGCAGCTCAAAAACACACATGGAAGGATACCTTTTTTCTTTCACCCACTATAAAGAATAAAAAGTTTATATACCTGATATAACACACTATGGAGCACTTAAAATAGTAAAATTACAAATGAGAGAATGGGCTTACTCCTTATTAATATATGGATACAAATAAGTTCCAAGTAGAAATGGAACATGAAAAAATAGAACGTAGGTTTTTTTTTTTTTTTTAATGTTTCATTTGTACTTGGTAGTTATATTTATCCATATATTCATAAGGGGTAAGCACATTCCCTCATTTGCCTTTTTACTATTTTAAGCACGCCACATTATGTTATATAAGGGTTTTCACTTATATACACTTTATATTCTATAGATAAATAGTTTCAAAAGGATTTCTAACAGAATTGAATTATTTGGAAAGTTGTTTTAGTGAAATGTGATAAACGTGGATATATTAAAATGAACTATTCTGTTGAACATGTATGTTCAACAGAATACATACACATGTATGTTCTTTAGTGCATATTGAAAAAAAATATTTTTGTGCACAAACCATGTTTTATATAAGTCCTTCATAAGTGGGCTGATATATAAAGCCCTTTTTATCAGTGTCAATTTTAGGCTCACACACCTGATGTAAAAAAGCAAGAGGTACCAGTTCCAATGCTTATTGTGAACATCAACTTGAACTGATGCTTTCTCAAGGCTGAGGTTCTTTATATATTCACTAATTTAATTTGCATTTTAAACACTTTAATTTGGTTAACGATCAATAGATTTTTTTTTATTATAATGCAGGTAAAGTAAGTTGAGAATTCTTAGATGATGTAATCCTCATAAATTACTATTGTGGTGATTAACTATATACTGTCTTGCATAGGTGTTCCCTGGCACAGTATAATGCAGGTTCCAACTCGTCTCCCTGTCCCCTGTTTAGGCTTTTGTGTGAGTTTGGATTAGCGTACGATTTTTAAAATAAATTCTTTGTATAATCCTTGTTAGCACCAGAGAAAAAAATGTGCATTTTACATCTCGTTAAAAAAAAAAAGAGTAAAGTTGACCACAGTCTTAAGTTAGGTAATATTATTAGTTAAACTACAGTTGTAAATTATACATTAACTTAGGTGCAATCATTTTTAACCACTTATCAATTCAGTGTGTGTTTTAAACTACGTTCCTATTAGACTATGTGACATTTTATGTATAGTATAACCAGATGGGATTAGAATTTTTGCCACCGTAAGCCCATTGCGAGGTTATGCACCCTATATGCATAAAATGTAACACACATTAATATATATATAGGAACCCTAATGTATATCTTCTTCATTTTTTTAACCTTAATCACCTTCACACTCTCCCACTTACTGTCAACTAGGCACTCACAAACCAGAATCATGTTTAAGAGAAACCACAGCACTCTTGGGCAGCTGCACATTGTACAACTGTTATTCCAATGAACAACATAGCAGGACTATAACAGGCAGACAGGGCTGGCCTGGGCAGTCAACACGTAAGGAGGTGTGCATATGGTATCAACATATTTACAGGAGAGCATGTGCTGACGGAGATGTCAGGAATGGGAATTAGTCTGACAAAGGGAGGAAATCACACTCATATACTTAGTCCTGGTGTTTCCAGACCTTGGTCTGGAATGGGACTTAGGACAGATCTAATGCTGAGTGACTGAATCAAATGCTGCTAACTCTTTTCAAATTTTAAAAATATATAAAAATTAACCTTCTGATACCCCCTTAATTATGCTAGACTAACTTAATCAGCCTAATAATAAATGCATCTCTGTTTATAACCAGTTGGATTATAGTTGACATTGTAATGTATTCACTCCCTTGGTTACAGGCTAGCAAATGGTGTCCCAAAATTGTGTCCCCTCTTCCCACAAAATCCCCACTTTTTGAAACTGCTCCCTCATTCCCCATATCTATTACAACAAAATAATGAAATTATTCTATGCCCCCAATGCATATTTCTCTTCCTCTGCTGCCTCTTACATTTGATACCCTCCTCCTTCTCGTACACTTTATTCCTACTGTCCTACATTCCCCCTTTGATATTCCATTCCGCCCGTATCATTCTATTTTAATTCTATTTGAGGGGTTTTTAACTTTCATTTTGCATATGTGTTTTTATGTTACAGTAACCCTTAAGTCTGATTTTTAATGTGATATTCTAACTAGTGATGTCCCGAACGGTTCACCGAATGGTTCGCCACGGACGGCGACCATATGCGCTGTTCGGTCCGCCCCCTATGTCATCATTGAGTAAACTTTGACCCTGTAACTAACAGTCAGCACACACATTCCAGCCAATCAGCAGCAGACCCTCCCTTCCAGACCCTCCCACCTCCTGGACAGCATCCATTTTACATTCATTGTGAAGCTGCATTCTTAGTGAGCTGTCCAGGACGTGGGAGGGTCTGGGAGGGAGGGTCTGCTGCTGATTGGCTGGAATGTGTCTGCTGACTGTGAGGTACAGGGTCAAAATTTACTCAATGATGACGAATAGGGGGCGGACCGAACAGCGCATATGTTCGCCATCCGCAGCGAACCGTTCGACAATCGCTAATTCTAACTTACATTATGTTTAACTGAAGTAAGTGGTTTATTATTCAAGCCTCTATCATTGTATCTTATTAACTTTTGCTCAAGCAGCCTGTTATGTACCAATACGGCACCATAACTTTTCACTATTGCCTGACCAGGTCTGTTACACTTATTCCAAACAGCACTTTTGATGATACAAACTGATCTCCATGGTATCATAGCTTTTGGGAGTCTTTGTATGCTTTGCATATGCTGTAATATTTCACTGTTTCGCTGTTCATTTGTTATTTTATATTTTTGGTACCTGCCTGCACTTTGAGCAATAAAGCCATATTTACAAAATATGTTAAATTTGATTTCTCCATAGCAATTTACTCCATGTAATCCTTTACAGCATATGCACACTTATCTATTCAGATTTTATGTTCCACACACAATGCTGTCCCCACCATCTAATTTATCTCCCAATCTTGAAGCCACAGCCATAACACAATATAAAATCGTATTTTAAAATACTCCCATCACAGTAGAGGAAATACCAATACCAAAAGCAACACCCAGATTAGAGTGGTGTCTAATTGTGAGAACCCTGGAAAAGTGCTGCCTCTAAGTATAACCCCAAACAAATCATCCTACTGGTTTGTGTGACAGTAGAGGACATGACATAATTATGCTTTAGCCCAGGGCTGGATTGAGAATACAAGGCAACAATGGTAAAATACATACCAGAACCAACCTTATGATTTTGCATTACCAAGAAATCAGCTGCCCATTAGTGGTTATATTGCTTTGCACCTCTTCCTGAGTTGTGTTTAAAAGCTGTTGTATACAGCACACGTACTCGAAGGAATCCCTGTATAACATGGAATAAATTAGTCAAAAAAGTTGGTTCTTTGTTAAACTTATTTACATATGACCACCCAGAATCTCTTGCTGTAGTAATATCATTGCCTACATGAGATTTCTGTAGGAAAAGCAAGTCTTATGGCTTGTTTGGTGTGGACAAATATGTATTTAGCAATGTAGTAACTATCCACTGACTACAAAGGGATTTCCGTTCACTTTTTCCCCCACCATAACTGAGTTGGTTCGTGCTCAAATATATATACATAATTTATTATTGTATGTTTCTTTTTCATTGAAAATATTGATCCCTTCTGGGTAAAAAATTAAATTATACAGTACGCATACTCACATGCAGACACCAACCATCTCACTAACACAGGTTCCCAGACAGACAATCTCATTGACAGAAGATTACTGATGCACACAGACAAGCTTACTGGTAACAGAACAAAAACGTACAGACAAACTCTCTGAAACACACAAGCTTACTACAGACAATCTCACTGACACACACATGCTCACTACAGATCAGCTCACAGACCTAAACACACATGCCAACAGCAAACAAACTCACTGACACATATGTTCAGTATAGACAAGTACATAGACACACACATCCTCACTACAGACAAGTTCACTGACACACACATGCTCAGTACAGACAAGCTCACTGACATGCAAGCTCACTGACACATACAAGCTCACTACTGAGAATCTCACTGACACACACATGCTCATTACAGCCAAGGTCACCATCACACACACCTATTCTCACTACAGACAAGCTCATTGACACACACATGTTCAGTATAGGAAAGTACACAGACACACACATGCTCAGTACAGACAAGCTCACTGACATGCAGGCTCATTACAGACAGCTCACTTTCACACACATGCTCACTACAGACAAGCTCACTGACACATTCTCACTATGGACAAGCTCACTGCACTTATAAGCTCACTTCTGACATCTTACTGTCACACACAGATGCTCACTGACACACACATGCTCGCTACAGACAAGCTCACTGACACACAAATGCTCCCTACAGACAAGTTCACTGTCACACACATATGCTCGCTACAGACAAGCTCACTGACACACACACATGCTCACGATAGACAAGCTCACTGACACACATATTCACTAAAATACATGCTTACTACATACAAGCTCACTGACATACATACACATCCTCACTACAAACAAGCTCACTGACACACATACACATATTCGCTACAGACAAGTTTACTCACTAGCCAGCATATACACACCAAAAAAATCCTCAGTGATGGGCTGCTGAGTATTTGAAGCCTACCTAGCACGAAAAGCTGCAGGAGCCCTGGAAGGTGCCGTTACCATTTTCTGGTCTCTTCCTGCTGGTGAAGTCAACTGATTAAGGCTGGGGGCAGGGGTGGAGCAGAAGAGGCACAGAAAAGCTGCTGGGCATTGTACAGCAGTCTTAATGCGGCCACACCAGCCCCCCAGCACCTCCCTCCTTAATTCTGTGACAGTTTGAAGGGAAAAATAATATAAATGGCATTAAGGCTGCCTGTCCGATCTCAAGTGCCACAGCCCACCGGGAAAATTTTCCGGTATCCCAGAGGGTCAGTTCGGTCTTATTGTGGGCATACAATTTGTTTCAGCTTTTAAATATAATTTCTTTCACAATCCCAAACTCAGTTTCTCCTCTTTTTATCTCACTACATTGCTCAGGCCAACTTTCACCAAAAAGCTCCAAATTCTCCTGACACATCTCCACACCCATTTTAAAGAGTCTCAGTGTATCGTTTTGGGCAGTGGAGTGACACTTTAATCATGTATAACATCTCAGTCCCCAGTTAGGTTTTAAACATTTAGTTTAAACATTAGCTTTACCATAGTTTATTTTCTTTTTTTTTTCTTTCCATGGCTATATAACCCTTACTGGGGACTGAGATGTTATACATCATTAAGGCAGCAGCAGTGATTGTTTTGATATGCCTGGATTCTTCCTAAAGGGAATCTCCAGTGCCAGGAAAACAATCTGCAGCTCCCCTCTTCCTTCCATCACCCATCCCCCGGTGGTTTCTTCTCGCCGCCGCTCCTCCCAGTGATTCCGTCAGCCGGTGGGCGAGACTGATCCTGCCCACCAGCTGAAAAAACAAAATGCGCATGCGCAGCAATGTCGCGCATGCGCATTACAGCTCCCCATAGGAAAACATTGAAAATGCTTTTCAATGCTTTCCTATGGGGAATTGAGCGACGCTGGAGGTCCTCACACAGCTGAGGACGTCCAGCAACGCTCTAGCATAGGTTTCCTGTGCTAGGGACACGGAAGTGTCCTCTAGTGGCTGTCTAGTAGATGCAAGGTAATTATTGCAGTTTATAAAAAACTGCAATAATTACAATTGCAGGGTTAAGAGTAGTGGGAATTGGCACCCAGACCACTCCAATGGGCAGAAGTGGTCTGGGTGCCTACAGTGTCCCGACCCTTAAGCTAACACATAGCCCATGCTTTGCGAGCATGAGGAGTGCACAATTTATATGAGCAGCGGCATTAAACCAAAAGGTTGAACTGTAACTTAATTTTCAAAGCAACCTTAATTTTCAAAGCATTTTTTTTAAGGAAGTATCCTTTGCAGTTTGGTCACTGAACTTGTTTGCAGATCAGTTGTCTTGAGATGAATCCAATCCAGCCTGTCTTGGAGTATTCTGTGTCTAATCCATTCTGTTTTGGACTGTGCTATTTTACTGATTCAAGCCTGCATTAGAATATTTGCAATCTGCTATGTGGTTGATCTCAGTCTAGCATAAAGTGATCTTTATATTGACCAGATCTGTGCAGAATCTAATAAAATTCTAATAAAATCGGAAATATTACTTCTCTTTCAGTATTACAGGAGCTGAAGGCCAAGAGTGAGCTCTTGCCAGAGTTAGACCATGGGCTTTTCAGGAACCCCACTCGGAGCCCATCCAACACCTGGGAACCCCAAACCTAGCAACACCCCTGACTGAAACATATGATATTGTCATTTATATAGTGCAAACATATTCTGAAGTGATTTTAACAATTATAGAATGAGATATTACATGTAAAGAAGGCCCTGTTAAAATGAGCGATCTGAGAGTTTGAGGTTGGTGGTTATATACACTAATCAGGCACAACATTAAAACCAGTGACAGGTTGAGTAAATAACATTGATTATGTTGTTACAATGGCACCTGTCAAGTAGTGGGATATAGTAAGCAGCAAATAAACAGTCAGTTCTTGAATTTCATGTTTATGAAGCAGGACAAATGGGCAAGCAAAAAGATCTGAATGACTTTGACAAGGTCCAAATAGTGATGGCTAGACAACTGGGTCAAAGCATCCCTATAACAGTAAGTATTGGATGCAGTCTTGGATCCTAGCGTGCAGTGGTTAACACATACCAAAAGTGGTGCAAAGAAGGACAACTTAGTGAACCAGCATCAAGGTCAAGGCTAATTCGTACATGTGGGAAGCGAAGGCTAACCTGCCAGTCTGATCACACACAAGCTACTGTAGCTCAAATTGCTGAAACAATTAATGCTGTCCATGTTAGAAAAGTGTCAAACAAAGAGTGCATTGCATTTTGCTGT